TTCTGGCAACTGCTTCCTATCTTTCCAGATGATTCCAGCCAGCTCTTTTTGTGTTTAGCCTATTGTCAAGTGCCGTCACAAAGACTCGGGGTATTAATCCTGTCATCCGTTCAGCGTTTGGAACTGCTGAGTGGGCTGCACAGTGAATGAGAAGCTGTAGGTGCTAGGAAAAGGGGGTATGGTGTGTAGGTGTGTTTGGAGCACATTCAGAATCCATGCCTTTCCCTGCACTGTTTGAATGTGACAATTTCCTTCTGTGTCTTCAGCAGTCCCCAGTAAGGGGAACACGGCAGTGCAAAGGTCTGATGGTGGTGGGAAGGCAGGCGGAACGTGAAACAGGCTGGAGTGATGGAGGGGCATAGCCGCTTCCCTGCACGCATGTGTGGTTGCCTGCGTGCTGTTGCTTCGCTGAAGAAGGCTCTGAAGGAGTCACATGTCTTGCTCAGAGCAAACAGAGTGGTAGATGCAGCATTTAGGATTGAGGCCAGAATATAATATAATGACTAAACCAACATGACAGCTCCCAAGGTCAAGGTTGTTGAATATATAAGGATTCAACTTTGAGTCTTGCAGGCTGAGTCCATCTCTAGTGAGCAGAATGTGACCACCACAAAGGAGCTGGCACTTCTTAGATGCTGGCTGCATGTTGCACTTCCTTCTGCAGCAGATCTGGTTTAACAGCATCTGTGAAACCCAAACCCCCCATCCTGCAGACTGGCTCTCACTAGAGCTGCAGTTCTGCACTGTGCTTCTTTGCCAGCAAATTTAGCTTGAGAACTTCGTACTCTGAATGACTTGTGTCTGCCCCCATACTGTGATTATTAAGTAGTCTGTGTGATTGCCCTTTAAACTGGATCCATGATATGGTTGGTACAAGGAGGAAAAGCTATTTCCCTCAAACCCACCCACCCCCTGCCAAAGTATTTGTTTTTAAAAATAATGATTTCACAGATCTAATTTGGAATCAGCACAGCTGAGGAGGCCATAATGAGTGTAAATTGGGTGATAGGAACTTCTGAAACCAGAGCAGCTGCCAAAGGCATCTTAGCATGGAGCTTCTGCTGCAACGAGAGACAGCTTGGCAGGCAAGGATCTGCAGCCAAATAGCTGACTCCAGGCTTGTGGTTTCCCACCTGGGTGCTCAAATCAGCACTTCATAGGCCCTGCAACTTTTAGATACCTTCATGCTGAGGAGAGCACCCAGGGGCAGGGGAGGTTTTTGAAGGCAAGTAGTCAGGAGGAATAAGCCATTGTACATTGCACATCTCAAAATCTTGTATTGTATTTTAGAGGGCTCAGGAGGATGGGGAGGGAGAGTTTTGTTGCTGGCATATACAGATGTGTTTCCAGCCAGACGCTGAGCATTAGCAGTGCAGAGAAAACTATGTGCTTGGGCTTTCAGTGGGAAACAACAACAAAAAAATCCTTTCCATTTCTTTCATCTGGAAAGTGATGCCAGGAGCTGCTGTTCTAGAGAATAAGAAGTCTGGATTTATAAACACGCCTATGAGATGCACCTTTGAGTGTGCCTTAAGAAAATCTACATGGGGAAAATGCATAGCATAGAAAGTAGGTCTTACTGCTGTCACTGTTCAGTGAAAGCCAAGTGTGTTGTGGAAATCTCTTGTGTGATTCTTAATAAAACACCAGCAAAACCAATGAAAAGGAGATCTGTTTGTGTACAAATACACCTGTTTCTTCTGATTTCATAGTGCCCGTTACAGCCTGTGCCAGAAGGAAAGGAGCATCTCCAGAAAAAGCAGAGGTTACAACACCCAGATAAAACCTGCCTGTGCTACCTTTATAAAGACACAGTCAGTTCAGCCTTGGGAAGAGCAGCTGCACTGGAGAGCTTGAGATGGTTGCCAAACTTCTCTCACTTTTTTTATATGATTTGCCAAATCCTTAGCTAGCTGGAGGGTGAATATTCAGACAGGCAGCAGCACTGAAAGCTGAGCACTGAAAAGTTCTGCTTGGGCAGGAGAGAATGAATGTGATTTTTTTGCAGTGACCACGCTTAGATATCTGAAAACACTGGCTTGAGCTGGAAGGAAGGGCACCTCTGAAAGGATGCTACTGTCCCTGGGGTGGGGAGCTTGAATAGTGTCCAGTGAGCCACAAACACAAAGCTGATGGGTTTGGTTTTGTTGTTTATTAAAGACAGGCCTTTGTACAGCAGTAATGGAAAATCCTATTTCTGTACCAATAAAAGGTTTGCTCTCTTGGTTGTTGTTATTGGCAAACTTAGTCACTTTGGTGTTTATGGAAAAGTATTTACTGTGAAGGACTGGATGGTTAACAAGCTTCATCTGCTTTCATTTTGCTTTGATGGCACACATGTTGTTGTGGGAACTTCTTATTCATTGCTGTCCCCCATCAGCAGTCCATCCTGCTAGGCTTCTATCTCTCTTCTGCAGCATGGATAGCTGATGCTCCTGCTGTTTGCTGTCATAAGGTAGAGCATTGCTTGGGTCTGGTTTGGACTCTTTTTCTGTCCTGGGGGCCATTGGCTTTGTGTCAGTTCCTACTTTACCACACAGGACGCTGAAACAATGCAGTGTGTGTTTTGTAACAGGCTAGACCTAGTTGGCATGTGGGGTATCAGCCAGCTGACAATAGCAATAATAAAGAACTTGAGTGCTGCAGAAGGATTAAAAGAAGCTTCTCTAATAAATGCAATTACACAAACATGCTTGAGCCATGTGTCCTGTTTAATTCCTTCCCAAGAAAACAGGCATTCCTCAGGGCACTGCTTTTGTCTGAGTGAAAGAGATAGCCAAGTGCCTCACAGGCATCCTCTCTGAATCCAGAGTGCCTGTTCTGTGCCCTGGGTGGCAACCAATTGCTGAGCTTCAGAGTCCTCTGAAGAATAGTTGTTCCTCCAGGACTGAGTCAAGTTTTTTGCCAGGCAGTGACTTTATAGCTGGCAGAACCCTTGCTGCCATTCAGACCTCACAGGCAGCTTTCGTTGCTGGCTGTGGCTCCCTGCCTGCACGCCCCTTGGTATTGTGTTTGCCAGAGGTGCCTTTGCTATGTGGTAGGGAGCTTTTTGCATATGTTCTTGCAATTTGGGGTCTTCCATGGGCCTTTGCCACTTCTGGAGAGTACCTTGACACCAAGAAGGGCACCAGGGTAAATGCTGTGACAGACTGTACTTGCTCTGCTGTCAGGGCAGGTTTAAATCACACCTTTAATGTGTTCTATTCTCTCCTGCTGGTGAGTGAATTTTCCATCTCTGCCTTTCACATGAACATGGTTCATGATGCAGAGAACATCTTAGAGGCTGTTAGCCCAGGCAGCACCCAAGAAGTGCTTGCTGGAGCTAATGGGTTGGTACCCCAGCTTTAGGCATTAGAACCGTTATCTGGAAACATGCAGCAGCCTTCCCAGTGTGGAGGAAGCAGCTGGTGAATGCAGATATATGTGGACATAAGAACTGGGGTCCAGATCATCCACGGGCTTGCTGGCTCCCAGGCATGACTTTGACTTTGCTTCTCCATGAGGCTCTGTAGGGGTGAATCCGTAGGGCTCACAGAATGAGATGGCTTGGGAAGGGCAGGAACACCACAGATATTGCTTCATGTGATGTGGGAAGAGCACATTTGTGTTGCCCCAGGTTTAGGTTGCCCTTAACTAAATAGATGATTAGTGTTAGTGGTCCAGGGAGGGAACGGTAAAACCTTGAATGTTTATCTAGTCTCTCAAAACTCTGTCTCCCTGCTTTTAAGAGTGTTTAGCCTGAAATCATCACTCAGCTGTAGAAGCAGAGGTTTTAAGAAAATCATTAAATATTCCAAGGCTCCTGGTAAGGTGCAAGGTAAATGATGAAGTGGTCCAGAAGAGCTGCTCTTTGACTTTCCCAGCTCCTTGCATACATACGCTGAGATACCTCGTAATCTTGTATACAGAGAGCAACTGTGCTCTTGCTCAGAAGCACCAAATGTTTCATTCAGTGCATGCTTGTCAGAGCACATAAAAAGTGAAGGTAGCACTTGCTATGTGTGAGCCAGCTCTTGTAAGCAAGGCACCGTGACGGGGTAATGTTACAGACGTGACACAATGGAGCCTTCTGGCTCATGGAAGTGTCCTGCCAGGCTGGTATTTCCCTGCTCTCTTTGAAGCACTGCCTTTTCATGGTGATGCTGTAAGATCCTGAGGAAACGTGTGGCAAAGAGGATGTGCCGTGACTCATAATTATCCGGTGTGGTTGCATTGCTGTGTGGTTCTCTGTTGTCCATGTTCATCTCTATGCAATTGTATCTCATTGTATGTTTGGATCCACTCCCGAAGATCTCCCTGGCATCAGTGGGAATATGAAGGGCTTGCAGGCACCTCAGCAAGGTTAAGGTCTTTTGTAAGATCACTAGAGTAGAGGTTGTATTTGTGTGCACAGCACCTTGCACAAATAGGTCACAGTCAGTTTGGTTCAGCATCCATCTGTGCAGTCTTCCTAAGGGGAGTTCACGTGCTGTCATATGCAGCAGCAGTGTTTCCAAACTGTGGCAGTGCAGTGGGAAGCCTCTGCAAGCACCTTGGTTTATAAAAGAGATCCAAATCAGTATTTGGCAGCAAGGCTGTGCTAGGGAGGGGTGAGGCAGTAGTGTGAAATTCATAAACAGAACTGAACAGGTCATAACAGACATTGCTGGGATATACGAGAGAAAATGGCTTAACTCTTGAAAAGTACATTGGAAATGCTGGTAGTACCAGGTGAAGTTCCCACTGGGCTGCCAGCATGCCTTGTGAAATAGGCAGGCGTTAGAATTGAAGGCAGATGCTCCCTTCCTGACTGCAGGACAAGACCTCTGTTCATCAGTGCTCATCTCCTCCTGACACTTTGCTTTGTGCTTTTTCCATCTCGAAGACTCAAACAATGTGTGTTTCTCAGGCCCTGGCTAACAGTTGCTATAACTACCATTAGTGAAGCCACTTAGGGCAGGTTCTGGTTTAGCTTTTCTTCCATCAATCAGCCAACTGAATTTTGTTTTCTTGCCTTTCAGTCCTTTCAAGGAAGCCAAGGACGAGCATACCTCTTCAATTCAGTGTGAGTAGAACTTTGTACGTGTCACCTCTACGTCTCTAAGGATAGATTTAAGAAAACCCTTGTGAAGAAGAAAACAAAAGGATAGTCTTCCTCTAGAAAACCTCTGCCTAAGCCTTGGGAGCTTGCTGAAAATGGTTGGAGAACGAGGCAGGAAATAACACTGATTCATATTTGATTTCATGTTGAGGTTTCAGATAAGCAGCTAGGAAAAGGTGGTTTTGTCATCATCAGGTTGAGAAATAAGAGCTAATGTATGAGTCATTCTCTTCTCAGAGAATGTAGTTGGGCAAAATAAATGTAGAGAATAAATTGTATCTAAATCTGAACTTACTTTTTAGAGCTAGCATAAAGACCAAGTGTAATTTTCCCAATAACTGAAAATAGTTTTGATGAGATCACTGCTGGGATGCCTTTGAGAAGAACTGCTGATTTCAGTTACAGTTTTCGGTTTTCCATTTGGGAAAGTAAAAGTACCATTTTCTCAATTTGAAAATGAAAATCTTTCCCAAATGCATAATTAGTGCAATTTACTAGAATGTTATTAATGTTCTCTTCAAAGCTTTGTAGAACTTTCAGATGAATAAAAGATTTATTTCACCATTTTCATTCTATTCTGAAAATGCAAAAGATCTTCATTTTGGTACTCGGTATCCTGAACCTCCTGCTTATGTTTTCAAATACTGCATTAAAATTGCTGTCAACTTCGGTGCAGCATTTTGATGTGCAAAGACTCACTAATAGGGAGCATCTCTCCTTTGTCCACAGAGTTAACGTGGGTTGTGGCCCTGCAGAGGAGCGGGTGTTACTAACGGGATTACATGCGGTTGCAGATATTTACTGTGAAAACTGCAAAACCACACTGGGTTGGAAATATGTGAGTATCACTGTAATTTTTCCTGTGGACATCTTTGCTCCAGCCCTTTCTGAAGGTGTGTGCCTGGTAACGTGGTCTCACAGAAAGACCATTAACTTGGGAAGCTGAAATGCAGGTTCCGGTCTGTAGCCCCATCTTTTTTCCTTTCTGTGTTTTCTTTTCTCTCCTATCTTGTGTTTGTTGCATTCATTCAGAGCAGGAGCTCTTTGTGGCTAATGTATGTTTCTTACTAAGAATATACACTGTGGGCCTGGTTGTGGTGGGTGTCCCTTAGTGATACTTAATATAAATGTGAGGATAACATCAGTCAGCCATGTGGTTCATCTTGTCTTTTTTCCCAGACAATACCAGAATAATAGAATGATCCATATATTGTTAATCCTGTGTCCTTCCCACTGGAAATGTTGGTCATGAGTTTATTGAACATGAGCTTGTTTATTTGCTGTCTCTTGCTCTTCATAAATTTGGTTACCTTCAAATAAAGGCTTATGCTACAGTCCAGTTTCTGCTTCAGGAGGCACACAGCAAACTTGTTTGTCAAAACATTTTGACCAGTGTCTAAACACAGCATAGACAGAAATATTCTTTATTCTATCTGGCCTCTGTACAGAAATACTCTTTAATAAATCAATTGAAAGGCTATAAAAAGTAAAGCATCAATAATTGATGCGGTAGGAATCCATGCAGAACCACCGCATGGCTCTCACAAATGGGAAAGGACACTAAGTGCAAAACTGAGGTTACTGTAAAACAAAACACAAAATGTTGTAAACATAGCAGTAAGCTCAAGCCTCCAGTGGCGTTTTTCCAGGTGCATTACAGAACACCTGAGCAGAGCTGAACTGCTTTTGAGGATGCAGCCTCAGTAATGGGAGTCCCTCCCAGTTGGAGATCCCACAGACTTTTTCTCTTCTGCAGTTCTGCAGTGGTGAAGCATTGTGTGTCCCTGCAAGCATGCATCTGTGTAGGGTGAGTCCTTCTTGTCGACTGGTGCCCGATTGCTCCATTTCCACATGAAGTTTCCACCTGGAGTTTTTCACGTCAGAGACGGGTGGGTTTTATCACTGATGATTCCTAAATCATAGTTCAAGGAGCAGTGGCCATTGGCCTACAGGAGGCTGCACATTCACGTGGTGCCGATTGTTCCTTTTTCCAGCCTGTAAAGATGCCTAGAAGCAGGATTTAAGATTCTTCCAGCATACTTTTCCTGAAAGCCAACAGGAGGACCTGCACTTTGAGCATTTTACTCTGTAGACAAGGCTAAGACTTGTACCAGCATTCCTGGATCTGATCTGTAACTGTTCATTTACCTTCAGATATCATCTTGATCTCATTCCTTCTCCGTTTGTTTTTAGGAACACGCTTTTGAAAGCAGCCAGAAGTATAAAGAAGGCAAATACATCATTGAACTAGCTCACATGATCAAGGATAATGGCTGGGATTGAATGGGAAGAGCCCAGCCCTACCAGCGTGTAAGAGAATGCCATCCAACCGAACATTATATCCAAGAGTGAGAGAGTGACTGAACGCTTGGTTCCATGCATTTAGAGGCTCTGCAGTTTGGGAGCATCTTCACACCCTTCTCCATCTTTATCGGTGACTGGCCTCTAAATTTCTGTCTCTCTGTCTCTTTGCTTTGTATCTGTTTGTGAGTTGACCCTGGCTGCTTCTCTCTCTGTTCTGGCGTTGGCTAAGAGAATGCACCGAATGCCCAACAGCCATTCCATGTTGACGAGTGCTTGAGTACAAACTGAAGTTGGCTCTGTGGTGGCATTTTATCAGAAGGTCTCGGTGCGAGAGGAAGACCCGAGTTTTGGGCAGGAGAAGGTGATAGGGGGTGGGGAATGGGCCCAAAGGGAAGTCGTCAGAAGTTGAAGCTGTACTTCTCCTTTAAGTCCTGGTTAACCAAGGCTTGAAACTATCTACTTGTCTAAATGGACAGAAAAATACCTCACGGCTGCGTTCTCTCCAAGTGATAAAACCGCTGCTCCGTCGGTGGAGCTTCAGTCTACGCTGGCTGAGCACAAGTCATGAGCAGTTCCCCCCGCAAGCTGATTGCAAATCTGTGTTTTGTTTGCCATTTATGAACTTGTCTTCTTGGGGGGAGGATGTGAAGGCTGGAGAGATTCCCTGCCTCCCGTTTCTCTCGCTGGTTCAGGGTAGGTAGGCCAAACATCCCAACAGAACACAGCTGTGGGGAGCGTCCTCACTGCTGGAGAAACCAAATCCTGACGACCCTTCAGACAGGAGGAGAAAACCGCTTAAGGCACAAGGGGGCTGGAGCTGCAGCTTAGAAGGTATGACGGGGGGAAAACCAGCATGTGTTAGGCAAGAAAGAGGAAATCACGTAGAGGAGGATGGGGACAAACTTAGTAACACAGGGTACTTTTTGATTTCCTGGCCTCCACTGAGCATCCCTGGGGGTCTTTTACCAATCCTTCATGAGTGCAAGTAGGAAAATGCTGTTACAGAATCTGTATCTTAAATCCCAGGCCACAGCCATCAGCTTCACTCTTGGAGCCTGGCAAAGAACTGGTGTGAGTGTGGGGAGAGGAGGGAGCAGAGGAGCCTGGTGGCTGTAGCGGTGTTGCACAGGTGGATATTTCAAGCCATGAGGTATCCTCCCCGAAACCTTCCTCCCTTTTCCCACTCCCAGAAGCCTGTTGCAGGCACAGTGGGAATGGGAAAGAAAAAAAGAAATTCAACCCCTGGAATTGTCTATGCCTTGGAATTCAAAGGGAAGGGGTAAGTGTGGGCATCACAACTGCAAGGGGCAAGTCCTTCCCATTTTAATGTTTTCATTTTAATTACCGTGGACCTTCCCGTGGTGGTCAGTGGGGAAGGAGCAGTGTGTGTGTGAGAGGGGAGCTGTGTTAGACATAAATGACAATGTGAGGTTTGCTCTGCAACAGTCCAGCCAGTATCTGGTGCATAACTACAGCCTATTTAACTGCGTTAGTTTTGTCTCTCCGAGTGAATTTTCTTTTTGTTGGTGGAATTTTTTCAAGTAGGTTAATCCATTGGGGGAAATCTTTCTTAATCCAGAAGGAAAGAGTATTGTGCAGGGGTGTGTAACTCCTTATGAAACTGAAGCTTTGGAGCTGTAATCTGTTCCCACTTGCCCCCACCCCAGGAGACTCTCAGTTGGCTGGGGGCAGCAGGACGGAGGGCTGGTGCTGAGAAAGTAATTTGCTGTTAAATGAAGGGGATGTGAGCAGAGATGCTGCCTGGGGATCAGGGTGCAACTTACGTGTTGGGTCTTTGTGCTGAAGCCCAAACCTGGTGGCCCATCTAAGCAAAGACCAGTTTTTCTCTCAAACCACTTTCTTTCCAGCCTTGGAGAGAGAAGTGAGATGGAAGCTGGCCATGGCTCCTGCAGGGGATGGGCTTTGCTCACTTTGTGGCTAGCCTGTTAGGAGGTGGCTTCTGCCTTCACCCTTTCTGCTGGGGCTGTGTAACAGTTGCTTCACCTTTTGTTTCTGATGGTCTCTGCTTCCATCATCCACATTGTCTTCAGTGATAAAAATCTAATAGCAGTCAACACTTCTGCAGTACCCTCAATCTTGTTGACTTTGGCACTGACCTGGTCCCATTTTCCTCTCCTTTGGTTGGTGATCCGGGACAATCTATTGGGGTCTGACTAATGGGAAGTAATTTGTGTTCTGTGAAGGTCTCTTCAGGTCTCCCCAGATAAGCAGCCTTCAAACAGGTCTGGTTGGAGCTGGGAGAAGTAAGGGATAACCCCAAATCCTTAAGATGAGGTTGAGAAGAACACACAGGGGCTCAGGGTTTTATGCTGGTATTTAGATTGATTTCGTATAAAAAAGAGATATAAAAGGTAGGCCTGTCCAGAGGACTGCTCTGAGAAAGAACAGTTACTACAGAAAGGTACCAGATGTAAATGTTTTTATCCATATATGTGGGACAAGAAAGGATGGGGATCCATCGGAGCAGGCTGGTTTTAACTGTTCAGAGGGGTTGCACTTCGGTGGCAACCAGTCTAAGCTTGAACGCAGCAAGATCTTAATCTGGTTTTAATTAGTTTTGTCACATCAGCATCCACAGCTTCACACTTGCTGAGAATCTGTCCTTAAGCCCTGATAGGGGCTGTGTCTGTGAACATCCCCAGTGCACTCAGATACTTATGGATAGAGTGACTTTCATACACTGTACAGGGAGATAAGGAAAAACAGGCTTGTGAAGCTCATTGGCTTCTCTACTGTGTGTCCATTGAATATGAAGTACTTTTTAATCCGCTGCTAACTCATCTGTTACTTGCTGTATTAAGACACATGGCAGTATTGGGAGCTGGTGACCAGACAGGATGACGAGATCTGTGTGCTGGTAGCTGCCACAGTCTGCGCGGGCTCAGGTGATGACTGGTAGGGTGATCTATTCAGAGCATAACCAAAGAACCTCAAGAACCTCGCTATCTGCATCCTTGTGGCCCTGTGGCTTGTCTGCAGCCTGTTTGTTACTATCTGGGGTGGGCAAGGTGGGACCATTGTTTCCAAGCTGGAGATGTGGCCCCTGGAAACTGCCTCCTTGGGCAGGCAGTGCCTGAATGGAGAGCACCAAGTGCCCATGGTGCTGCTTCCCGTGGGTGGTATCCTTGAGAACACACGAACAGCAGTGAGATTTGCTTTTGTTTTATGTCGCAGCCTCGTCTCTGGCAAGCTGCATGGACCCTTGAGTTTACATGACCCCATCCACCCCAAAGCTCAGACTTGAGCAGGTGTTAAATTGTTTTGCTGTGGTGGATTACCTGGTGTGAAATCCTGACCCCTGTAATAAATATTCAGATAATAATATATAAAAAGCAGGAAAAAAAGAACCATTATCTTGTGAAATACACTCTTGTAAATAATATTTAATTTAAAAAAAATAATATATTTGGTGCTGTTTTCTCAGAGTCCCTCCCTGAGAGCACTTTTCTGTTGTTTATAAATGATACTGTTTCCTTCTGTATTTGTTGGAAAATATGTTTAAAGGGAAACAAAAAATCCTAATACACGTTGTCCTCTGAGGTTGACCCGTTTTTCCTCTGGAGGTGGCAGGAGAGGGGAGCCATTCCTGCTTCCATCTGGCAGAATTGGTCTCCAGTGCAGGCGATGGCTGGGTGAGGGCAGGAGCTGATGTGTGGGATGGGAGGTAGGTGCAGGTGCCTGGGGAACGCTCCGGTGTCTGCAGTTCTGTGCTGGAGCAGCTTTTGTGGTCCGGCAGCCTGAGCCCTGGGTCACGTCGTGCTCCCACAGCAGGTGCCAGGGAGGCTCCGCCTGGGCACAGCTTTCTTGAGGAGGAGACCTGGTTTGTAGGATCCGGGCCTGAAATTTTCTCTTGCACCAGTATTGGCTGGAGTGAGGTAGATACCAAGGCTTAGAAACCAGGCTTGGGTGTAAGCTGCAGCCTCTGCATTGCTGTTCCGGTTGCTTGGGGGCAGCAGGGATGGAGGGTGGAGATTTTTAAGTAGCTGTTGTTTTTAAACTAGAAGTTCAGTCTTTGGACGTGGGTCCTGGTTTTCTCTTGGATTCTTTCCTTGTTGTTGGTTTGTTGTTTGTTTGGGGTTTGGTTTTTTGTTTTACTTTAAACCAGGCTGCTACATCCCAGACTAGAGTAAAAGTTTACCTCTGGCAGGAAGGGGGAGTTTGTTTTGTTTTCCTTTCTGTCTTTAACTTCCCTCCTTCTCCCCCTTCTTTGTTTTTATTTCATTGGGTCTCTTGTTTATCCCAAAGTGGACCAACAGCACAAGCCACTGAACTGTGTTTTGCTGAGCAAGGAGCTGGTTTCAGTGCTGAGCGACTCTTGTTGCACGCTCCTCAGTTCTCTGGGTTTGGTGCACATGATTTAAGAAGATACGAGAGAAAAGCCACGAAATCTGTTGTTCTTGTGATGATCAAGCAAGAACCTTCTCTGCCTGCAGGTTTCTAACTGGTGTGTGAGTGCTAATCATGCATTTCACTGCACCTCCTTGTTTTGAGAGGAGCATCATGTTTCGTGTGAACCAGTTCTTGGATGAAGAGGTGACACCCAAGACCCGGTTGGGTAAAGAGGTTGGTGAGATCCAGAGCTCAGCTCAGTGGGAAGCAGCTCTTCTCACCGGGTGAGAGGCTCAGAAATGAAATGTTCAGAAAGAATTGTTTTAGCTGGAGGTTTTGCAGGATCCTGTTCAAAAAGAGGGGAAACAAAATCATCTCGAATTCAGAAACAAGAAACCAACATATTTAAACGCAAGCAGAATGGCATTGTGTAAGGTACAACCACAAATAAGCTATTCTCATAGTTGCAAACTGTGTGTATCCTTTGGTTTGTTTTTCATAAGGAAATGGGAATGCTTTCCCCACTGACAAAGCTAAAGGACAATATTTCCAATACCAGCCTGTCTATGGATGCTCTTGTGTTTACAAATTGTGTATAATTTTATTTCTTTGATCTTCATTTTTTGGTTGGTTTTGGTTTTTTTGCATATTCTTTCAGGTCATTTGCTTCAGTAATAAATGCAACCGTTTGTTTTCAAAGAGTTGGGTTTCACCTTCTCATGTGTTTGTACCTTGTACATAGTTCTTCAGTATTAGAGGGAGGCTATTGTTTGTCATATTTACAATATGTGGTGGTGCTCATTTGAGGAAATAAAATTTTCAAGTACTAAACCTGCTGCTTCATGTGCCTGTTGGAATCCCCTGTGCTGGGTGCAAATGTGGCTGCTCACGAACTGTGGCATCTAGCTTGAAAGGAGTCAATTTATCCTCTTTCCAACACCTGCCAGCTACCTGGCACAATCACTGCAGCACCTGGGGACTGTAGTCATGGGCAAGGATCCCACTGAGCTGAGCAAAGAGATGATGTGGAGCCCCTGAAGTCTAGGATTGAGTACACGAGGAACCCACAAATGGAGCAGGAGACATTAAACTGTTTCCCATGGATGAGGGGTTTTGTCAGCACTGTTACGTGGCAGCACCCACTACAGTAGAATGGATCAAGTCTTCCCTGTGAGGGTGCTGAGGCGCTGGCACAGGGTGCCCAGAGAAGCCGTGGCTGCCCCATCCCTGGCAGTGTTCAAGGCCACATTGGACACAGGGCCTGGGAGCAAGCTGCTCCAGTGGAAGGGGTCCCTGCCTGTGGCAGGCGTTGGAACTGGATGAGCTTTAAGGTCCCTTCCAACCCAAACCCATCTGGGATTCTATGAAGAAATTCCCTATGGCCAGAAAACCACCGTGGGTTTGGAAGTTTTGCTTGTTGGTAAAACTCACTTCGTAGCACCCTGTCTTGTTAAGGCATATGGCAGGAGATGCCTGTTACGGGTAAACCAAAGCTTTGGTAAAGCTGTCTGCCACGTTTGGGTGTTTGCAAGTCAAGCATCCACTGCAGGAGTTCAGCAAACAGGATTTTCCTGGTTGGATCCACACCAGTCCTGAAGCAATGAAAATCTGTGTGGAAGCAGAGCTTGTGCTTTGGAAGGAAGGAGGGCACGCAGGGAGAGTGACCCTTCAGTACTAAAATACAGAGCAGTTCCATTGAATAATGGAGGGAGCTTGTCCACCTCGGGTACAGGCTGTGACATCTCTGCCCATCACTTCTGCTGGCTGCAGCCTGCCACTGCTCACCTCACCTGGCAGCATTCACTTAAACACCAGAATGCCTCCTCTGCTCCCAGGTGATCGGGGTGCAGCTTTCCAGGGTCACTGTGCCTGCAGCTCAAAAATCCATTTTCCAAATGGAAGCAGTGTTTTATTTGAGGTGGTTTGGGCTGAGCTGATGCAATCCCTCTTCATCCCAGTGCTGAAGACGGCTGAGACCTGTCCCCGTGCCCTATGCCAGTGCCCGGCCGTGCCCTGTGCTGCCGCAGGCTGGCTGAGCGCCCTTAATTCCCCACGTGTCTGCAAAAGCAACTTAACCCTCTCCATAGAGGACGTGGTGGTGCCAGCCGCGAAGTGCCCTGAACCCAAAGTGCAGCTCAGGCTGCCGCAGGAGAACCTGCACCTAAGGGCTGAGGCGAGCTGGAGCAGAGCCTCTGTGGGAGGCCAGTGAGGAGCCAAGGAGGATCTGACTGCGAGCACACGTCCCCTGCTCATAGCGAGGGCAAACAGGGTCAGCCGCTGGGGCAGTCGATACCATTGGCTGCTTGCCGCGGGCTCAAGGTAACCCGAGGTCACCAAAACCTGCATTTGCTGCTGTTGGCGCTGGATGTGTGAGCTGGGGGCTGCCGGTGGCATCCCCAAGGGACGGGAGGATGAGGCATGCGCTGCCCCCACCCGCACAGCAGGAAGGCCTCGGGCATTTCCAAGACGTGGGCCTGGTCCTTCGGGCACACGGAGGTGCCTGGAGAAGAGCAGGGTCTGGTGCGGGCGGCTCCTCACCACTGGGGCATCGCTGGGCTTGTTCCTCCAAACCCCCGGAGCTGCTGCACAGCTTTTCCACTGGAAAAGCCCGAGGGTTCTGACCCTTCATTTCCATCAGGGGTTGTCAAGACGAGCTCCAGCAGAACAGCAGCAAACCGAGCACCTGTGTCCATGTCCTGTGTGCGCAAGGAGAGGGGTTTGGTTTCCATTGCAGTCGGCTGCTCCCACTAGGGTGAGGCCACAGGACAGTGTGGTCCAGCCTGGGATGGCTGGAGCCTCCCGTCACACCCTGTGCCTCGAGACGAGACACGGCAGGAAGTGATGGGGTGGAAGCCCAATGCAGCTGTCCTGCCCCGGGGCCACCGGTGCCCGCTGCTGCCACAGCCCAACACAGCGGGCACAGAGGGTTTGGGCTCTGACCCTTGCTATTGCCTCCAATCTGCTACGTGATCTGGAGAGGAAAATGGAAACAGTTCTGCCATGTTTCCCTGCCTTCCCACTGAAACCTGCTCTGGACGCTGCCACCCTGTGCGGTGCGGGAGCAGAAATCCCTGCTGGGATGGGGAGGGAACCAGCAGCTGCTTATTCACCAAGCCAACCGAGTGCGTTGGCCATGGCACCTCACCAGCACCAAGCCACCGCCGCCTCGGATGTGAGCCCTGCCGGGAAATTCCCTCCCGGGAAAAACGGTTGTGCTCAGTACTTCCCATCCCGAGCATCCGAGTGAAAGCAGGAGGGATGACGCAGACGGAAAAGCCTCCAGCCCCATATAAGCCCCTTGGCTCTGGATGAAAGTAAATGGATGAAAGTACCATGAAAGTGGAAAAATGCCAAATCCCCAGCATGGCCGAGGGCTGTGCTTGCAGGGAAGGTGAGGAGCAAACCCCGCGGCCGGGAGGTGTTGGTGGTACCCGGGCACTGCGGCGGGGTTGGGGTCTCCCCGCTCCCGGGGCGATTCCCAGCCAGGGCTTGGATGGGTTTCGCAGGGCACGGTCGCTGTTTGCCAAGCGGGGCAGTGCCCTCCCCGGCTCGCATTAGACGTGTTCTTAAACTGCAATTAGAGCACAGGCAAGCCAAAGCAAGCTATTAATAGCGGGGTGCAGATAAGCTGACTCAGGCGGCAGCAGACGTGAGCTCTGGCTGCAGCTTTGCTGCTGTGAACTTGGCCCGAGGCTCCGCAGCGGGAGAGCAAAGTGGGGAGAGATGGAAGGAGGGATGGGGGGAGACACGGATGGAGCCTCCTCCTCGGTCCCCGAGGTGCTGCCCCACGAGGTGCCAGCGCTGCGGGACCCACCGTGACCTTCACCCGCGGCTCGAGAAGGGGCCATAGGGAGCTCGGGGGCCGAGTGCGGGGCAGGTCTCGGGGCTCCTCCCAGGTCCCGGCAGTCACAGTGAGGTTGCTTTGTCAGAAGGTGACCACAGAGCTATAGCGGAGCTACAAACACAGCAGCGCTGGTGCCCGTTAGCCCCGGCTCATGAGCAACGCTGCGCTCCTGCCGTGCTCCTGCCCCTTCCCCTGGGACGCGGGAGCTGCGGGGGAGCGCTGCTGGTTCCTTCTCTGTTGTTTCCCTCATCCCTTTTCCTCCTTTCCCGGGTGAAGGGCTCAGGGTTCAGCCCCACAGACACAGCCGGGCTTCCCCGGCCCCTCTCCCGCTGGGCCCATGGCTCCAGTCCAGGCGGGGATTCTTGCTCACGGGGAGGGTTCACAGCGGCACTTCTCCTGCTGCCGACCGCGCCGGGGCTGTTTTTACCTGGCTCCAGCCTGGGGTATAAACTGCAAACGCCCCACGGCCACAGGCTGGGTATGGAGATGTCACCCGGGAGGCGGTGACCCCATGGGTGCAGAGAGCGGGGGTCCCCGTGCAGGGGATGGCTGAAATAACAGAGCCCCGGTGCCACGGGGCCCCCAAAGGCACCAAGCCCCCACTGAGCCCCATGGCTGGGCAGGTTCCCTGGGCCTTTCAGCACTGATCTGGGGGGTTGTTGTGGGCACAGACCCGGGTAGGCACCTGTGAGCATCAACAGAGACGTCCATCAGTGAGATCCCCTCTGTCTGCAACGGGGGCTTGGGGAAACGCGGCTGTGGGGCCAGGCATCCCCGACCCGCCTTCCGTGGGAGAAAGAAACACGGAGGTTTCCCAGCCCGCCCTGTTCGTATGGCTCGGGACCAAGCACCCGGCTCCCAGCACCACAGGGGACGCCTCCGCAGGCGTCGTGCTCCCCACGGGCAGGAGCTCCTGAGCGGGTGAAGGAGAACGACCCAAAAGCGGGAACGCGCCCGCGGTGAGGGGGTTGCGTGTGGGGTTTGGACACTTCACAGCAACAGCAGGCAGCGGTGGGAGCCCGCTCCTGCAGCTCTGCTTCTTGCTGGTGTTTTCTGTTCCGCTTGGATGAGGATTTTCCCATCCTCGTGCTGCTTTCATGGAGGTTTCAGGACATGAATCCAGGTCCTTCCCGAGCCGGGACCTTGGAGGATGCAGCCCCTGAGGCGGGTTCCCCGTCTCGCCCTGTCGAGCAAGGGGGTTTGCTCCACCCCGGTGTCTTGTTCCTTTTGGAGCTTCCTGGAGATGCTGCACAAACCGGGGCGCCCTGGGGGAAGCACCAGAGCCACAAAACAGGGGCGCAGCCAAAACCGACCCTCACAAAACACCACCGCATCCCCAACCGCTGCCCAAGGGGCCTTTGTCTCCCACCCGGCAGCTCCTCACTGATGCAGCATCGGCTGCGCCCATCACCAGGGCCTCTCCCATTGCCCAGGTGCTGCTGGCTTCTGATCTGCTTCAGCTGGGAGGGAGGCTGAGAGCATCGGTGCTGCTGAAATCCTGGCCAGGCTTTGTTGGTCCCTGGAATAGCAGGTGAGTGGGAAAGAGCCAGGTGGGAGCAGGTTTTATAGGGGAGGAAATGAACGGGCTGAAGAATGAGGCTCCGCTGTCTTTAATCTGAGGTCAGATTTCTTTGTGAGTGCAGTATCAGAGCTGTTGGTTGAGCTCCTCTCCCTGTGCCCTGGCTGTCAGGGCTGCAGGAGGAGGCTGTCCCTATGGATGTGATGGGGGATTGGTAACGTGGGTCCTGCTCGAGGGCTTTGTGAAGGTGAATTTAACCTTTTAAACACATGCCTGGTGGGGACAAGCTCCCCAGGCAGCCGGGTGGCTGTGCTGCTGGCGCCCCGAGCCATTAGCACAGCAATAATAATGTCCTTTATTTAATCACAGCCGTGTCACCCGTGGTGTTTGTGGATGTGATTGGCTGCACGTCCCTTCCCATCCATCTCATCCTGATGGGTGCTGATGGCGGCTGGGGGCTGTCGGTCT